TAAATGTACCTAGTTCATAATAAATGTTCAATTAATATTTCTGAATAGCATTAAGACTTTTGTGTGATTCAGAGCTGTGGAAAAAAATTCCTACTAATGAATTATTACCTTTCTTTGCTTTATATGAGAGTTTTATTATTCACTCTGTCACACTTTTTGCCCAAGTTTATCTAGAAGCCCAGAGATAACTCTTATGGAAACTTAATTAACTGGCTAATGTTAGCCATTATTCCAAGGTACCAAGTCTGGAAACAAGGAAAAGGAAATTATATTACACTTTGATTAAATAAACATGAAAAACACCAGCTACCCTTATTATAAAGAAGGGGCAGCCTCCTATTGAACTCAGATCATTAAAAAAAAGTGCTTTTTCATGGAGAGAGGATGCACACTAACAGGTGCATGTTTGGGAAGAATTTCAGTTTAAAATTTAGAATTATTGGGCCTGGATAACTATCCTTAGGAAATAAAAAAATTCAAGAATAAATTCTTTAGTAAAAGTCAAAGTGTACATACTCTTTCCTACACAACTTCTGCTAGTTCATTTATGATGTGCCAGTTGTTTTATAACATTCATGAAACAGATATTTATAGGATGCTTCCCGGGTGCCAAGCACTGCGCTAGAAACCAGGGGTTAGTGGTGCATAAGATAGGTGAGGTCCCTGCCTTCTCATCAAAGTGCTAGGGTTTCACACTCTCCTGGCCCCATATGCTTCACAGCACTGTATTTTATGAGAAAAAAATCAGAATACATGGTGTCCTAGGTATGGCTATACTGACGAAGAACACTGTGCAGAAAATCTAAAATCTGGCCTCTGTAGCTCACACTGTCAAATTATTTATACTCTAAGTGCTGACAAGCAGCAGCTACATCTTCGAAGTAAAACAGATAAAGAGAACTTTAAGAATATGTGACATTAATATTAGCTACTGAACAAAACCTCTAATCACTGAACAGTTATGATGTCCTTGAGATTTTATTTGATTGGCATTTCCATTCAGCTGTGCTTCATTGCTTTCTTTAGAGATAAGAAGTTCTGTGAAATATTCTGATAAAAGCTACTGTTATCTTTCCTGTGTCAGTGGTTTGTTTTACCCATCAAGTAATTGTGAATTTGTTGTTGAGAAATGCTAAAATCTGTGGTGACATAAACAAAAGACAGATAAAAAGAACTATTAAGCAATGTGCCAGGAGCTGTTAGTATGTTTGTTTTAGCAATCCTAAAATCTAAACATTTATGCATTGTTTATAAAGAGATTGCACAGAAGAGAGCACAATATTGACATGGCATATTGGAAATGGACAAGTGCAGACACAAATGTATCAATCTCAAACAAATATATATATATATATATATATATATATGTACATACATATATATTACATTCATAGATATACACATTCATATATATATAATATGCATTTATATATATATATATAAAATATGCATACATACACATATATCCCAATATATTCCAATGTACAGTCCAATTAGGGCCTGGGAAGTTTTAAAGACTTTAGAAAGAATTTAAAGCCTAAAAGTCCATTTATGCCTAATGCCACCAGGATGTTAGTAACATGTTCACCAAGATGAAAACTTGAAGGAATAAATTCCCACTGTTGCATCCTTAGGACTTACTTGGGTTGAAACTTAAACCAACTATGACTTAAACATATTTTGGATGACTTACTCTTCTGGTTTCCTTTATCTTGTTGACAAAATACTGCTAAAAATAACCGAAGGAATAAAAAATCACCAAAACGAGAGCCAGTAAGTATAATTTCTGGGGCCGCCTAGACAAGGAAACATGCCTTGGTTTCCCCAACAGACAAGTGAGGACTATAAAACCTGTCACAAACATAATAATGTTGCAAAGCAAAACAATCTGTTGTATTTTCTATATACCATAAATAATCAATTTGAAAATTTAAATTTTAAAATGTTACTATTTCTTTTTTTAAAAAATACAAATATATTTTATTTTATTTTATTTTAAATAAACAAAAATGCTCACACAGCTCAACAGGTCACTTGGAAACAAACTCTTGCTTGACTGGATTACTGAGCAAGAACAAAGGTGAAACACAAAAAAAGTTACTCTTCTAACAGCATGGAAAACATCAGATTTCTAAGAATAAACTTAATGAAAGAGGTGTAAGACCTTTACACAGAAATCTATAAAAATATATTAAGAGAAATTAAATGAAACCTAAATAAATGGAGAAATGCACCAGGTGAATAGGTTAGAACACTCAGGTTTATAGAGAAATGCAAAGAGCCAAAAATAACCAAGAAAATGTTGGAGAAAACTATGGAGGTCTACACTCTCTGACAGCAAAACTTTAGGAAACTATAGTAATTAAGGCAAGGTGGTAATGTTGCCAGGCCAGACAAAACAATGGGACCAACAGAGATTCCAGAAATACACACACACGGGTGTTTCATTTTGTATAAGGATGGCGCTACAGAGCCGTGGACAAAGGACAATCATTACTGTAAGTGGGCCAGGCCAGCTGATTATCCACGGTGGGAAAAACTGAAAACGGATCTCTCCCTTACACTATACACGAAAATCAATTCTAGAGAATTGGAGATTTAATGTGAAAAGTAAACCAACGAAGCTACTAATGGGTAACAGAATTATCTTCATGAGCATAGGTAGGCCAAGATATCTTAATACTAACCATAATGGAAAAAATCGTAAAATAAGGATGTGAACATCAAAAGACATTAGCAGCACATGTGACAAACACAGGGTTAAAATTCTTATTGAGTAAATGCCTCTCAAAAATAAATAATAAAAAGATAAAAAGTTACCACCCCATCCAAAAATGATCAGAAAACAAAAATATAGAATCTATATGAGATTATTTATAGTCAGTAAACACAATATGTGCTCAATGTCACTAGAGAATAAAGATAAATGGAAATAAGGGTTTTTTTAACCTCGTAGATTAACAAACATAAAAACAAGAAAAATTAAATTTAGTATTAGCCAAGATTTGAGTACTCTCATAAGCTCCTGGTGAGATTGTAAATGGACACATTTTCTGGAGACTATCTGGCAATATATCTCAAAATCCCTGAAAAAAAATGTATCCTTTGACCCAATAATTCCACTTCTAGAAATTTATCCTAAAGAAAAAGTTAACCACTTTGCAACACTGGATTTTTGTCACTGCAATGCTTACATAACAAGGAATTAGAGAGAAAGTCTAACAATAGGGAATTGGTTAAATATGTTATGATAATCCATGTAATAAGACACCATGTCATTCTTATAAAAAATGATTTGGATCAAGGATCACCACCCAAGACAGTCACAGTAGCAGGTGATACCACAAAGGAGTGAAGAGGCTCTTTGGCAAACTAGGCAGCACGTGCCCCTTTTGGGAGGGCGGCTCCAATGAACTGATGCCAAGTAAGGAGTGTGTGTGTCAGGGAGGTGCCCGGTGCTGTCAGAACACTCGGGGATATTCTAATCTAAAGTTTCTGATCTATATTTAAAAGAAGTAGGAAACTGAATTTTTATGTGAAATCTCCTGATTTTTAAAAGTTGTCTGTTGTTTTAGAAATTTTAAGAAAGAGTCAGTGGACAAATAAAATGCATCATTTGATAAAAACTCCAGTGTGTGTGTGTGTGTAAAATAGAAAGATACCTGTGATGTATTGTTTTTATTATTGTAAAAAGCCTGTTTCAAAACAGTTTATATACTATGATCTCATTTTTGTTAAAAATGAAAGTATAATTTACAAGTATGTATAAATTCTAAACAGTGTCTGAAGGGGTATAAATCTAAATGTAAATAGCGGGTGATTTTTATTTCTTATGCATTTTTATATTAATCATTAATATTTGCTTATCAGAAAATGTTCTTTTCATCTGTAGTTATAGTTCTTTTCATCTGTAGTTATAAAAGACAGAGTTAACAGTTTAGTCGAAAATTTTGAGAAATCAAAATTTTTAAAAATCAAAATTACTAAGTAAATATTCTTGCACATACAATCAGAGAAACCAGAATTCAAAGCCAATTCTTCCATTTACTATGTCAGCGGCTTGGGCGTTCTCGCCTATAAAATGCCAGTGATAACACCTTCCATCTCCGCCTCAAATCCCCTTGGTAATGTAAAAATTAATAAACAAAACCAGAATTAATATGTGCCACACTACCTTCCTAGCATCGCCAAAAGCTAGGTGTAGATGGGGGCTTTTCCTGTCGCAGCTGCAGCCTGGAAGGAGACAGACTGCAGAACGTGATCCTGGAAGAGGTCCTGTCTCGGCTGTCCCATCCGGGCAGGGCCACAGCAGAAGTCCTCCCAGTTGCAACTCCTTACCCTCAGCGTCTAAGCTGCTCTGCCCCACACCTCACTCCGTCTAGAAACAGCTCCCAAGGCCGTGGAGCAGAGAGTGGCCGCCGGCCCACCGCCAGGCGCAGTAGCATCAGACGGGGTGGAATTCACCTCACCTTCTGAAGGGTATCTGGGTAGGTCCGAAGCGTGAGTAGAGCTCCAGGACAATGGAGTAAGCTAGGATTAGATCCGACCCTCAAGTAAAGGAATATTGGTTGAGAGTTCGTCACCCTTTGTCTTCCCTTCCTTGCTCTCTGCATCACCAGCAAAGCCGTGGGTCTCTGGGAGGTGAAGAGGTCCACGGGTGAAAACCTCCGGGAGGCTGATGGAAGGTGGGTTTTGTTTCTGTCTGTATCACCCCTTTTTCATCACAAGGGGCTTGTATACATTCACGCCACCATGTCTTATACATACAAGATGAGCGCAATGGAAGGGAAAGAAGTTTTTTCAGGCTGTTGTAGTACCATTTGGAAATCTACCAACATGAGCTCCTATACCTCCCCAAGTACCGGCTTAAATCCAAGGAGACATTTCATCATAGCTGGTCCATGGACACAGCATACCCTTTCAGATATTTTTTACACAATAACCCATTTTCATTACCGTTCTTTGTTCAATTAACTCACAATAAAAGGGAACAGTAAAAGTGTTGTTTCATATCTTTACTCTTTCAGTAATGTGCAACATGAACATAGTAGTGTTAGGAAGTCAGAAATAACAACACGGTAGCTAAAGAAGATGTTTATATTTGCAAAATTTCAACAATTATCTTCCCTAGGTTCCCCCAAATTAGCATATTTGTTAATCAAATTAATTAAGAAGCTTTTCAAAATAAAAGCAATGTTTTAAATAAATATATTTTCATAACCATAGAACATTTAGTTCTGTTGGAGATAACAAACATTACACTCAAGTACTTTATGAAAATATTAGGGCAAAAATGATCTAGATGCAATTATAAATATACCCTAATTAGTCATTTGCTTTCTTTTTTGTGTTTTTCTGAATGTGTTAAAATCATATCATAGACATTTTGTAATCAATTAGTTCTTAAATCATCAGGAAGATGTTATCTGACCCACATAATTTATATCAGCTCGACATGATGATATATTCTTTGAGCAACGTCATTGAGTTTCAATTAATACTCTAAATTAAATGCTATCAAAGCTGAGACCCCCTAGCTGCCCGTGTCTGCTATAGAAAATGAATGCTAGACTCTCCGTTTGGAGGAATGAGACCTTCCTGCAAATCACAACCTTGAAATTTTGTAACTAAATAATATTGTCACATCAAAATCCTAATTACAAAAGAGCTCTTGCTGTGTTTCAGTACCACATAGGTGGGCATAAATTCACTAATGGTCAGCTTTTCCACTGAAATCATATCTGTTTAGTAAATTACATAAAATAAATATTTATTGATTTTATTTAATAAATATTTTAGAGCTCACTAACTGAAGAAATGACTTTTCTGATCTTTTCAGAAATCCTGATCATTTGTTTATCTTTCATTCACTCTTATTTCTACTGTGATTGTTAGGAATTTTGCTAATCTATATTTAATCTATCAAAACATCTAGGCATTGGTAAATTTGGCTTCCTTTAATAATAAGTTATGTTAACATATCTGAGTTAAATGACAAGGGTAGAGAAGTAAAATTAAACACAGCAACAGGTCCTAGTGAGTGCTCTTTAGAATTTTAGATTAACAGATTTTCCCTAAAATGATACGTTAATAACTTACTAAATGAGTAATTCAGCACAGAATAGATTTTAACAGCATCTCAACATCTCTCTGCCTCTGTCTCTCTCTGTCTCTGTCTGTCTCTCTCTGAAAGACACACATACATACACACTTCTACCCACATCCACATATGGGTATGTACACACATCTCAGAATTTAAAACACTGCTACTAAACATTTTTAACTTAGATAAATTAACTACATTAAAATACTGACATTGTGAAAATACCTGTTTATGTCCAACATCCCAGAGATGGCATCTTTTTGTGAACATCTACAAAGCTTAAGGAAAGAAAACCAGAAGGAAAAAAACAGTCTTTGACACAAAGGACGGGCGAGCACGTGGCCACTGCTCAGGTCACAGCTTCCCGTTCTCCTCAGCACTTTCCTTCTCCTCTATGGCCTCCAGGCTGCGCTTGCCCTTGGCCTCGGCGCCGCCGCTGGGGGCCTTACTGAGGCCGCAAGACAAGCAGGCCAGCTGGATCTGCTTCATGTTTTCGACAGCTTCATTCTTTGCATTCTTCAACAGGTCGCCTTGGCCCTACAGACAGGTAGACACACCAGAGAAGAACGTTATGGGCAGGCACATCCTGAGCGACCATTGCTCAGCGAGGAAACAGACGCAGACCCGAGAACTCAGTTTCCCAGGGTTCACCCCAGCCTTCTGCTCCAGCACTGTCGAGCGAGGGGCTTTGCTCTTTAAGCCCAGTATGTCAACCTGAGCCTTCCCCGTCAGATCTGTGGTTGCTGGCGGCCCCTTGAGCTTCCTGTGGTTGGGAACAACCCCAGAGGGACCCTCCTCTGAATTTGCCGAGAACATCAGCCCTTCATTGAGACTTTGCACAGCGCTGTAGCTTGTCGCACGCAGGCCCAGCATTCCTGGTCATGGGAGAAAACAAGGAAGGAGACTCTGCCTTCGAGCACTGAAAATTAGATCAGCCCCTCAGTATACAAGAGCTTACAAAGCAAAGCATCTCTGTAAAGTAAATCATACAACCTTATGCTTGGTAAACTGGTTTTTTATATATTGGGCTATCCTTGCAATCTGCCTTTGGATAAATGATTAGCTACCCGCATTCCTCTGTCTGTTCCACCATCCTGAGGACAATGTTTCCATCTGACTGATGGAGAAAGGGGCTCCAGAGGCTCAGCGTGTCAATCAAAACAAAAAGCAAATGGGGATCACAGGAAATCATCAGCTGTCAGTTACAGGGGTGCCCAAGAAATATCTTTTCCCATTATTTTTATTTCTTATTTTAGTTCATTGCTCTGCAAGGCACAGGCCCGAGAAGGGCCGTCGCCCACTTTAAGCAAGGTTCTCCATGGTACACTGTTTCATTGCTTTAATTTGATGACTGCTTTTTCCTTATGTATGAGGAAGCTTGTATTTAAAAATATGCCTCGGAATACATCATTCCTCAAAGTCTATGCAGGCACTTGTCAATGTTATCTTATATATTAATAGTTAAATCCTAATAACAGCCTTGAACTCAATGGGATGAATAAGTAGGGCTTTGCCTAATATTCTTGTTAAAGTGCACATCCCAGTTACCCCCGTCATGGACTGGGATTTTAGAAGTAGACTGGGAAGTGGGATAGTCTGGCCTTCTCACGAGGAGAAATGAAGCTGAGCTGCACGAGGTTGCGAGGCCGACCCAAGGCCAGAGCGGGTACATGACTGAGCTGGGACTGAAGTCCCGGTCCTCTGCCTCTTGGGTCAGTGCCCTAGTCCCACTCCATGTTTACAGATTAGACCAAGAACAAAGACTAGAGAGGGAGCGTTCTGTCAGGTACAGATGACCTAAGGGGAAATATTCGCTACAGCAGCAGAATTTGGGAATCGGTTCTTAACAATACAGACACAGTGAGTTCCCTCTAGACCCTAAAAAACAAAGTCATATCCACTTTGAAAAATGCAATTCTTAAGTAATAATAAAACAAGATGTAAAGTCACTTGGTGCAGGCATTCTTTCTCCTTGGTGCGTTACACGTATGTCATTCATTCACTTTTCATTACATCCCTATGAGAGTGGCACTTTTCTTATTCTGTTTATGGATCACACACACACACACACACACACACACACACATACACACACACTGAGGTCCAGAGCGGTCACCTTTTCCAGAGTCACCTAGCTGGCAAGTTGCCGAGTTGGGGTTTAAGTCAAGCCCAGCAGTTGGCTCCAGGGTGTGTAGTGTTAACCATGACATGATTCAGCATCTCCTCAAGGCCAATGGTCCACTCTCTATAAAGCACATTTCAGCCTCCTATTCATTGTTCCCCATGGAAGCAACACGGATAAAAAGAAAATCATTACCCACATGGCACAATCTGACAGAACTTAGAGATCAATCTAGAGAGTCAGTACACCAAGAACAAACTGGCAGGAACAAAAGTCTGTGTCTCAGTTTTGCTTTTAGCTCCAACAGCTTCTTCCTGGGCCATTTTCTCTTTTGTAAAAATGAAAATATCCTTCTGCTTTCCTCACAGTTCTAAAGATTAAAGAAAATATGTTGAAAAGCTACTTGTGATTTAAATAACCATAAGTAAACTATGCTATAAGGTGATATGAAGAGCACTTAACATAGCCTTCTATTATAATAAATATCTTGGTACTGTGCCTATTTTAATATAAATGTCACCGACTTGTTTAAAACGCATCTGCAAGAGTCTCTTTAGAGAGATGTATGTTGCTACTGTTTTTACAAATAGAAATATTCCTTTAAAAATCCAAACTGTATTAATAAAGAGATTACACCCAGTCATTCTAAGAGTATTAACTTTTAAGAGCTCCCTTTTCTTTTAGTTTTAAAATTTTTATCAAGAGTTTTAAAAGCATCAACAACAAAAAATGGCCTCTTCCTTCATTGCAAGAAAACAGTGAAACACGCAAAAATATCAAGCTTGAAACTACTAGCTAATCCAGAGTGCTCACACATCCTTTCCTGCAGCAGGTTACTAACGCATCTAATTAGTCAGTCAGAATGGCAGCTCATCAGCCTGAGCGGTGGCATCCCAGCCGAAGTGCCAGGCAGTGCCAGCTCTGCTCAACAGAAATCAGTCTCTCCAGGAAACAATGGCCCAGAGGAGAAAACACTTTGTGCCAGTGCACAGGACACAACTACTCATCTGGTGATAACGAGGAGACACCACGTCCTGCCAAACGATGCAGGCAGAAAACAACAGGAAGAGAAAGTAAACTGTTGACTAATAGGACAAAATGAAAGGCTACGTTATGAAGGCTTAACACTGAAAACATTTAGGGAAAAATTTTGCTTTCTATTTTTGTAATAGGAGAGATACAGGTCATCATTCTACTTTGTGGTCCAAAGAATCAACTCCTCGATTCCTGCTGATTAAAGTAGCAGAACCAGAAAAGACTCATCCTAGGAAAAGCTTAGAGAGGGGGAAGGGCGTTGTTAACAACCCCATCCTGGCTGGCATGCCTTCTTGGTGCTGACCTTTCCCATTTTTCGTGCAGTGATTTCCCTGCCCGACAGCATCCCTCTCTACTCCGCTACACTCCTCAAACTCCCCCTAACGAGCCAGCTTGCCCCACGGCTCCTCCCTGCAAACACCGCTGTCCTGTGCATCATTTCCGAAGGTAGTAGGTGTTCAGGTCAGCTAAGCCATTTACAAGTATTGGTGTGTAGTATGCGCTTAAGGAGTATTGTAACAGGGTGTTTCTAAAGAATATGCTCCAAAATTCTCAGAGTCTTTGGGACAGGAGGAGGAAGGGGAGAAACCCAGGAAAATTAATTTTACTTAGTGATATATACATTGAAACACCTCTTGGGCTTGTCATGGCCTGGAATGTAAAGGGAATGGACAATTTATACACACATATGCATAACCCATGGGGAGACAGTAGTGCAGTGAAGGCCCGGGGAGGGGTCTGGCGC